AGGGATTCTTAAAAAGCCCTAATCCTTGGACACAAAGTCTTTTGATAAAGGATTATATGCCAAACCTTACATCTTTCCTTCAAACTCTCCTTTATTACTAAATTTGATCTTAACAATCATATTATAATATCTGGCAATAATCATATCATAACAGTATAAGACATTTATAAAAATTTATATTATATTTTTTTTAATTTAGCTGTTTATAAATAGGTATGGGCTATTTATAAATTACTTTTGATGTAATATCACTTATTTGATATAATGTTATATTAAAAGTTATATATATAGTAAGTTGGTATTAATTTAAATATATGTTTAATATAATGACAAAATTAGTATTTAATTAATAAAGTCTTATATTTTATGCTTATTTGCAATAAAAAAAATAAAAAAGAAAAAAAAAGAATATGAAAAATGAGAAATAAAAAAATAAATAACTTTTAATTTTTTTAAGAAAAAATTTCAAGCATAGAAAAAAGAAGTAAAAAAAGTTTAATATCTTTTATTTTGAGTAAAGTTTATAATTTGATAATTTAAGCCAATGCTTTGCTATTATTATTAAAGTTGTACTTAACTATTGGAAAGAAAGTATTAATTTAAAAAATATTATGTATTAGATTTATGTTTTATAGAAAAAATCATTGATATACAAATGATATATACTGTATATTATATATATTATAAAAATATAGATTAAAAATAATATAGTATATAAATAATACAAAAAAATTTTCTTGGTATTTTTTTCAAACAAATAAAAGATATCTTTTGTAAATTTGAAAAAATTTTCTAATATACAGTACAAATAATTTTATTTTTTACTATTTTTCAATATTTGCGATTTCTAATAAATACTATTATGATATAATCATTCCATAATTGAAAATGTTTTTAAAACAAAAAAATTATCTTATATATTCAATAGTAAGACTCGGTTCCAAAATACATAAATTTTTTTTTTTCGCAGAGTCGTTATATAATATATAAAAATTCTCAGGTTATTTATTTATTTATTGTCGATTGTATGATTTTGAAAACTTGTTATTTCGTATGTACTGCTTTTGTTTTAATTTCTAAATAAAACTAGATAATGGCAATTTTGGCAGTTTGATGGCTCAGCTTCGTCGGGTAGTCGTGGCGTAAATCGAAATTGATGGACCAAAGGATGATCCGCAAAAAATGCACTTACAGTATTTCTTTTCACAAAGGTAAATCTTTATTCAGTCAAAGATTGGTTGATCATGTAGTCATGTAGCTATAGGGAAACGAACCAAAAAATCATTAAAAAGAACATGCAGTCACATGCTTATATTTCTTCAATATGTACGTCAATACATCTTTGACAAGGTGTGCATGACCGTGTGATACAAAATCTTTAAACTCAGAAATACAACAATAGGTTTACCGTCCGAATCAGTATATAAAGGTTCGCCAGGAGCGTAATTAATTTTCCTCACACTAGTTGTTCGCAACCATCCGATTCAAATACAAAAATGTTAGTATTACAGAATTTCATCAATGGTGAATTTCTAACTGCCAAAGCAACCGACTTTATTGATGATTATAATCCTTCAATTGGAAAGGTGCCAGCATTCTTTATTACTTACCCTTAATTTCAAAGTTGTGGCTTATATAAAATATGAATTGTTAATCAAAGGTGTACGCAAAAATCCCCGACTCTTCAGAAGAGGAAGTTAATCTTGCGGTAGAAGCCGCTCAAGCCGCGTTTCCCGAATGGTCCAAAACACCAAGAGCCGTTCGTTCTCGAATAATGTACCGGATAGCCGATATCCTTGAGTCTCGGCTAAAAGAATTCGCTGAAGCTGAAGTTCGCGATCAAGGCAAAACAATTAATTTTGCTACCAATGTCGACATCGCCAGATCTGTATATAATTTTAGGTTTTTCGCCGGTCATATTTTACATATCGAGGAGAAAGCAAATTTTTTAGATGGTGTCGCACTCAACTATGTTCAGAGGAATCCTGTCGGCGTTGCAGGGCTAATTGCGCCGGTAACCTTATTTTGGTGATGAAAGTTTCTTTTCCAATTACTGTTAATGGCACATTCTAATCTTCTTGATTTATAGTGGAATTTGTAAGTGCGAGTTTTTTCATCGTCATTTTATAATGACGGGTATACTGATTGTTCCAAATTCGCGGTCTTAGGCCTCTTTATTTATTGACGTGGAAATTGGCCCCTTGCATCGCGGGTACTATTTGTTTAACATGGAATGATTTTTTGAATTCTTCAAAGGTTAAGAAGACTAACATTCTGTTTATGGTTTCCTACTCAGCCGGTTGCACTTGTGTTTGCAAGCCTAGTGAATTAACAAGTGTTACCACATTCAGTAAGTGGATCAGGAAGCGATATTAGGTTTTTTCATTGTAATGCATAAAATCACATGAATTTCATTTGGTTAGTGTTGTGCTCCGTTTTGAAGGAAGCAGGATTACCGGATGGAGTTGTTAATATAGTCTTCGGCACCGGTAGGTTGTGTTCAATGCAAAAATTTAGGATCTTGTAAACAAGTCAGTGATTCATACATCGATAGGCGCAAGGACCGGACAGGCCCTTGTGGCTCATCCTAAGGTTCCGCTTATATCATTCACCGGAGGTAATCAGAATTCACGATATTAATATTTTATCACGAGAGAATATTAAATTTATATTATGTGAAACTTAGGAACAATTACTGGTAGGAAGGTAAATGTTACCGCCTCTTCCTTCTTCAAAAAAGTCTGCCTTGAACTTGGTAAGGTCCATGCGATCATTTCTTAATGCAAATTTCTTAAATTTCCCATTAACTTATATTTACCTGTTCAAAAAAAGGCGGAAAAAATGCAAGCATTATTTTTGAGGACTGTGATTTCGAGAAAGCAGTTGAAACAAGTATAAAAGCATCCTTCAGCAATCAAGGAGAGGTACTTTACTATTCTGTTTCTTTTCTAAGTTTACTGGGAACTTTACAAAGTTTACATGATTGATTGGATCCCTATTCCAGATTTGTTTATGCTGTTCTCGAATATTTGTCCAATCATCCATCTATCGCAAGTTTCTCGATGCATTTGTGCCCAAAGCTTCAAGTTTGATCGTTGGAGATCCTAGTGATCCAAATACACAGGTAGGAGCTTTGGTTAGTAAGGAACACATGGAAAAAGTGCTTGGGTACATTGAATTAGCAAAATCGGAGGGTGGAGTTATCGAGTGTGGCGGCCGAAGGAAACTAATGACCGGTGAGTTCAACGAAGGGTATTTCGTTGAACCAACGGTTATCACCAAGTGGGTTCTTTTGTCATGTTATAAACAGTTCTATTTTTCAACAAGTAATCTTGATTTCTTTCCTGTAGTGTTTCGCCATCCAGTCGAGTGGCTCAAGAAGAAATATTTGGACCAGTGGGTTTCACTTTAGATCGAGTTGAATGTGTAAATCAAATTAGCTTTCTTATTGATTTTATTAAACTGTAGGTTGTCACCGTCCATCCGTTTGAAACCGAAGAACAAGTTATTAAGTTAGCTAATGATAGTCCTTATGGCTTAAGTTGTTCTGTTTGGACTGAAAATGGAAGTCGTCAACGCCGCGTTGCCGAGAATATCTATGTTGGTACATGTTGGGTCAATTGTTGGATGGTGAGAGATTTGAGTATGCCTTTTGGTGGAATGAAACAGAGCGGTAAGAATTACGAACATTTGTTTAAAATTATTTGAACTTATCCATTTACCATTTAATACATACATAATGATTAAAGGTCTCGGGAGAGAAGGCGGAGAGTGGTGGATGTCATTTTTTACTAATATGAAAACCATTTGTTTGGCTAAATAACAAGAGACTAAAAAAAATCTTTTTAAAAATATACTTTCGATTAAATTTCAGATTATATGATTTGTAAAGGATTGTTTCTTTAAAGAATCATGGCGCCATGTATTCCCCTTTGACTTTTTAGTAAATTTCCCACATTGTGAATTTATAACACAGGAGGTTCGTGATAAGTCTCATTTATGCTTGTGAGACAACGACCTTCTTAACTTCTGAGCTTGAAGACGCTATTTTGAGAAAAAACCTTTCCAGTATCTTACATTACTCTTTACTAGTACTTGCTTTGATTTCGCTCCCAAACATAATAGTTTACTATACTATTTAGGGTTAATACTCACGATCAAAACCTTAATAAAAACAGGAAACATAGGGAAACGCAAATTTTTATTTTTATTACGCCGTAAAAAAAGCCTTTTTTATATCCACTCAATGGATGAAATATATATTATAGGTACAATGTGTTTTAAGTCTTAATGCTAATCGATGTTTGAGAATACTGTAGTGATTTTTTTTCTTTTACCCTGGATGTGATGATACTTATGAGTCTATTAAACATTTACAAATAAGGTTGATATTTTAAATATGACTATTATATATATATGTATGTATATCAAGAATAATTTTTCTTGTTTTAAAATATGCGAAAGATCGCATGTTGATTCAACTTTGTGGTGTCTATGAATTTTCAATGCCATTCGCGTTTTCAAAATCTTCTGGATAATCACCCTCGTTCAAATAACCTTGTTGATAATAGTTTTCGCCATCCCAATATCCATCCCCCGTTTGATATTCGCCGTAATACCCATCTTGGTATTCATCGTAATGTCCATCTTGGTAATAATACCCGTCTTGATAATATCCATCTTGGTATTCATCGTAATATCCATCTTGGTATTCATTGTAATATCCATCTTGGTATTCGTCGTAGTACCCATCTTGGTATTCATTATCACCTGAATATTCATAGTCATATTGTTCGTATTGGTATTTCTCGTATCGCATCACTGTCCCATCTTCAGCAGTATATCCTCTGTGCATCGTCTTGGACAAGTGCGTCGCCACATTTCGTCCTGCCAACGGTTTTTCCTGTGGGTAAGGTCCACTAATATCCTTTTTTGTCAATCGTCGATGTCCAAACTTATAATTCGTCGTCGGCATGTTAGGGTTGTCATCTTCTCGAGCACGATCGAACATCGCCAGCACACCTGGAGGCTGTGGTAACTTGCTTGAGGCGAGCGAGACGGCGGTGCTGACTTTACTCGTCGGTCGGGGTTTCCCCTTGCTCAGAAGCCAGGGAATGCTGAAAGTGCTCACAACACTCATCTTCCTTCGCGTGTAGGATTTTTTGAGTTCCCCGTCAGAAAATACCTGAGCTTTCTCTTCAATCATTACCCACTCACACTCATTTACCAAGCCTTTTCTTGGTTCAATAAATACCCAGTCCCCCCATCGATTGCCTTGATCTTCGGCCGTAGTCTCCATCCAAACATATGGGAATATTTCGTCAACTGTTTCGATGGACAAATGGGTGGTAACAGGCAAATCTTCTGTGCGACTAATGATATCCCAATCCTCCCAATCTTCCTCGTTGTCCATCGAAAAGGCTTCTCTTAGCTTTTCAGGGTCCTCGAATGAGCGTGTTCTTTGTGGTCTTCTCAGGGAGCGAAATTTCACCAACTTCTTCTTCACGCTGCCGCTGCGCGATTTCTTTCTTTTTAAGTCGTCACTATTTTCTTCCTTTTTGTTTACCTTCTCATCACTATTTCCTTCCTTTTTTTCCTTCTCGTCACCATCGCTGAGTGTTTCTTCTAATGGCAGAGAAAGGTTTGACAAATTGTCGGCGTTGTCTTTGAATCCTGATGTCGTGAACTCATCCCAAACCACAGTTTGCCTTATTGAGTCAGAATCGTCGGTGATTATTTGTACCTCTTGTCCATTATCGAGTTCATCGCTTTCATCTTTCTCAGAGATCTTTGACATCTTTTTGTTCTTGGTAGTATCGTCGGTGATAGTGGGCTTCTGATCATCGTCGGCCTTGTCGTTAATAAATTCCGGAGGATCCAGATGAAGACTCTTAAAACCTTTCCTCTCAAACTGAGTCCAAGATGAACCATCCAAATTTTTGGGGTGCACGGAATTCTGAGTTTTCTCTTTGGCAGAGAGATACATCTTCAAGTAATCGTCTGACAGAGCGCCAATTCCATCCCGTTGAAATGCATCCCACATTTGTTCGGCACTTTTCTGTTCATCCACGGTCATAACAGTGCTAGTACGAATGATCGTTTTACGACTTAATCCACCCATCACATCAGGCAGTAATGTGGTGAACCTTCTTGGTTCTTGTTTCTCCGAGGTCGTTGGAATTTGTCTCGTGACCCTAAGAACACTAACCGGACGCGAAGATGGTGTTTCGGAAATTATGTTGGTAACCTCAGTTTTCGAGAAAGTGACCATCGATTGTTTTCTTGATCTTGACTTAGATGTCGAATACAGATCTTCAGTGGATGCCTTAACATCCTCAGCGTTATTTTCCGATAACATTTTCTCTCGGAGATAAGCGAGAAAAAGGTGAATACAAGCGTTGGAACATTTCATCCACTCTACGTATGCCGAGTCAAAACTTTTGCCACCTTTTTCGTTATCACTCATCAGGCAGAGAGCCAGCGATTTCATTATCCGTTGTGCAGACATATTGTTTATGTGAGACTCGGCGATGACTTCTGCGCAAATGCCAAACACCTCGCAAAGGATATCCTGGTTTTGTTTGGGAAGATAGCAGAGGAATGTGGCGAACGAACCTTTATGCGGATCGTAATCCCATTCTAATGAAGAAAATTGAAAATCAATATTTCTCCTACGTCTCAAGTTTCTTTAGCCCAGCGATTAACCAACACTTGCCTTGTTCATAGCGTATAAATTCTTCATAATATTCGTAAGGAACGAGTATGGAAGTGGAGTGTCTGAGAGACCACTTTATTGCTGAGGCGACTTCATTGATGTCGTGTTTTTTGAGTTCATCCTTGCATTCCTCTCGGCTTTCTCTCTGCAGATAGGTGGCGAGTTCACGTATATCTTCCTCGTTTTCACCGATGTGAACTGCTTTGAAGATATCAACCACATTTAAACCTACAGGTAGACGAGAAAGAAATGGGGATTAATATTGTTGGCAGGGTATCCAACCTAATCCAAAGGAAAAGTTGACAAACATATACTAACCTCTCTCTCGTATCTCATCAGCACATCTCTTCACTATCAAATGCACCTGTTCCAGAGCCAATACATGAGTGGAATCTCTTTTGGGGATTCTCAAACTCTGCTTTTTTACACCTTTCGTGTTCGTCATGCTACTCTTCTTTCTTATCAAGGAATTACTCGCGGCGAGTAACATTTTTTGAGCAAAATATTATAAGGAAATATTGATACAATGTCCTGTGTCTGGTGTTGTATAAGACAAGAACACCAATGGGTTCATTTACAAGTGGACTTTTTTTTTCTTTTACCTTCTCCAATCTACCTGGGTCTTTTATAATGTTTCAAATGTGGCCTTCGAGTGGTTGATGCATGTGCATCGCCATGCATGAAACTATGAAACACGTACAAGTATCCGAATGCAATTATGAGATCTTGGATTAAGATTACACAGGGTGCATGGTACAAATGAACATGCTGCGTTGGTACGAATGAATATGTTGCGTCGGAACAGATTTTTATATTCACTTTTTGAGTTGAGACTTGCGTGTGTGCACCACATTTCATCATCAACTTTCCTATGTCCAGAGGTCGTTCATCGCTTCTCCTCTAGCGTCGTATCGTTTTTAGGTTTTTTTGTTGCGATCAGGCAGTTTATGCTAACCACATAAGGAAAGATTCATGCACCAGTGCCTTTCCCGATAATTCAAATCAATATTGATCATAAAAATTCTTAACTAATCACAATTCATTGAAGCGTTAATTTGGGTAATTCATAAGAGTATCTTTTAACCCACATATGTATGTATTTAACATCTGTCATACCGGTATGCACACGTTTTTAAATTTTCCATTCCGGATATAGCATCTCACGAATGCCAGAATTGACAAACATCTGGTCTGCGAAATTTAGAAGACAAATGATTAAACGAAATAAGGTAAACAACAGGGAAACGTGAGCGCATATAATTGACAATATCAAATTGACAATAGCAGCTAAAGAACAAAATAATTGACAATAGCAGCTAAAGAACAAAATTAAAGATTGAATTTATGCATATACAGTACTGATTTATTTTCCAATGAGAATGAAACTTTATAAAGCTACCGACACACGATAATGATTAAAGACCGAAATAGAGATCGTTAGGTGTGTGTACTTTTCGTGTAGCAAAATATTTTAGGTAGGCGAGCTCAATGTTTTGCACATCGCTTCTCATAAAATTTGGAGCCCGTGCGTAACGCGCCTCAACACGGGCGACCCATTATTTTTGCCTTATTCGTGCCACCGAGTCATATGATGGTTTCTGGACTTTGGTTTACTTCTCGTTGCAAGAGAAAGAGGATTTCAATGGCTTCTCACATTGATAAATTAAGCATAAACACAGGATGCATTAATTTATTATATAATAGTGATAATATGCTAAATGGGTTAGGCAACTGCATGCACAATTATATAATTACGTATTATTTACCTCCTAATGTTTGTAGTGATCTGCTTGTAACCCAAAATTGGAACTTATTCAATTACCGGGTGTTTACCTTTTATCGGATCTAAACCTTCAACACCGTACTATTTTGGACCGGATTAAAGAAAAATGAGGCGAATATTTGGACCACTGACAATTATCAAAAATACTGACCAGTTCTCTGATGATTTCGATTACGAGAAGTAATTTCCTCCAGACATGGTGCCATTGTTCGCTTTGCTTTATGCATTATTGATCATGCAAGAAAGCTGGTTTTTCCTCATCCCATGACTTGACACAAACAACAAGACCACTCTCTTGATTTAAGGCTATAGATACAAAGATGGTAATTTGACGTCTCATAATTAACAATATGGATATACCTGAAACACCATCAGGTAAGTACCATTTTAAATTTCGAGTTTTTATCTGTACCAAGTTTTCGTTAAATTTATTTGTGTCACATTTATGATTTTTATTATGTATTGTATCGTATATACAAATATTTTGATGACCCCTTGAACGACATCGTACCTTCATAAGATACGAATCTTTGATCGACACAAGAAATACACCAAATGTAATTTTGGACCAGTAAGCGTCGTCTTTTTACGAAATCGCAAAAAAATTTTATTATGCGAGACGGCTATCGCGCCGCATCTACATCGCTCCATTGACGTGATGTGATGCTCCAGTCTATGCGACCAAGATGGGTGTTATTGGTTAGTCATTTCATGACGTTAACACATGTTCGAGCACAATTTGAATTCCCATGATCTTCATGAAAAATTTTTTCTTACTTCGAAGTTTAACGAATTGCGAAACTCTGGGGTACGCCCCACTCAGATTCTGCCTTTTTTTTAAAAGAAACACGCCTCAAATGTTGAAAAGACCATTACCTATGTTTCATGAATGCCTCCATCGATTCTAAATTTCGCATTAACAGTTATGTGCATGCATAGCTAAAGGAAATCTCGGACATCAGACACGGCGTGATACAAAAGAATAAAATCAAGCCTCAACGATCGACTTTTGAATACGAACGAATGATACGGATGAAGAATTCAACACTAAAATTCTACGTCGATTCTTGCATACAGCAAGTCAATGATGGAACTAAAAAAAATTTTTTTTATCCAATGATTGAACTGAGTCGATTTTTTTTTTGTTACTGGTTCTAATTTTCCGGTTCCCTTGTAAATTTTCATTTCAAGAAAAATTGTCATACCTACCGGATATTGAAAAACAGTTAATGATAAGGGAAAAAGTTGCACACATCTGAAACTAATAAATGCATAGGATATCAATCACAAAACCATCGTCCATTCCACAAAAATCCTCTTTGATTAATCTCTATATCTATACTTCGTGTTTATAGCCCTGAGGCACTGTAATTCCGCCTACTCTCGTTAATATTCGCATAAAAAGTTTTAAGCATTGTCAATTTGTGAATAAAGAAAAAAAAAGGTGTATGCACGAAAACCGTTATCGCCTCCTCATGGTCAAAAGCAAACAATCATTGTACTAGCGAAAATCCGTACGCGCGTTGACCTACGTTTCATAAAAAAATTTTTTTTCTGATTTCTCCATTGTCATCTCATCACTTATGCATCATTTTAAGTATGACTCATGCATCAGGCCCTTAAAGAATTTTTCCCCGAGTTCGAAAAGATGCCTACATTTTAATATACTGTATGTACCAATGATAAGAATCCGGGATATTCTGAAACAGTGCAACAATCTTATATGCATAACTATCTCGTTTTGCCAAATGGATTTTATTTAATTTCGTGGCGTTAACAAATTTTGATTGAAACCTTGATTTTTTTTCTTTCTCGACAACACATTGTCTCCTGAACTTTTTTGGAGAACAGATTCAACATTGAAATCCATGACCCTGAAACACTGTGATGACCCATCGCATACAATGTACAATCTACTTTCGTTTTACATTCTTCTGTTTTGTTGACCGAAATTTACATTTTATCAACACAAAAAAATGAATAAGAGTTGGTCAGCTGAGGAATATGCTGCACCTTCGAAGACGCAGGAACCTATATACGACACTAGTTTTGAGCGCAAGCCTACATATGTACAATCATTACCATAAATTGCCTTTCATTTAAATCATGCAATGATAGCCTAACCTAATTATCGTGTTCTAATACTTACTGTATGTGAAATTATTGTCTACCAGAAATTTGCTTTGGATTTTATTTGTGCAAACAAGATTTTTTAATATTAAAACAATGCAGAAATCTACGTATATGAATCAATTCATCAATTATCATATTGATAAATCATAAATCCATATAATAATATTGGATATTTATTGTATTTACTGTCTTAAATCCATTGATTAAATTTTAAAAATTTAATATCCATTATACAATATACAATGTGGTGCAAAAAAAACCAGAATTATATATTTAATTATAATCCAATAATTAATTAATCAAATTATATAAAACTTTACAAATAAGTTTTTTAATATCTTAACAATAAGTTTGTTATAAGTTATATATAATGTAATGCAAAAAAAAAAAGAATTTTATTAAAAAATTTTTAATAAATAATAATTAAAATGAAATCTTTAATCAAAATTTACTTAAGTTAAAAGTCTTGTTTATTTTTTGATTATATAAAAAAAAATCTATAATAATATATATATATATTTCTTTATTTCTTTATAATTTATATTCTTTTAATATTATAAAACTACTCTTATTAATATTATTATATTTGTTGAACTTACTTATTTCAAAAAATATACTTAAACAAAATTATAAAATCTAATATTTGTTTTAATATTATTTTTATTTTTATTTTTATTTTGATAATATTTATGATACTATTCAAAACATTTATAATTTTTTTATTTATAAAAATTGAAATTAGTTTATTTCTTTTAGTAAATTAATATTTAACAATTGTTTAATCAAAATTTATTATATTATTGAAATAAAATTAATAAAATTAAATTATAAAATCAATAATAATATCAATATCAATAATAATATTAATAATAACAATTATAATAATAAACAATATTATTTATTTTATAATTTATATTAATCAAAGTTATATTTATTTATAAGTTATAAAAAATAAGTTATAAAATAAAACAATAAGTAAATTCAAAAAAAATTTTTTAGAAATATAATAGTTTACTTAATTTAATTTAATTTTATTTTAGTTATATTTTTTATTTTCAATTTTTTATTGATATAATTATTATTTAACCTATATTAATATATTAATATTATTTAAAATTAGTTATTTATAATATATATAAGCAAGCTAGTATTTAACTTACATATAAAAAATATTTTTTATATATATCTTGATATATAATATAAGTTATAATTTTTTAATATAACTATATTAATAATTATTTAATATTATAAAAATTTATAGTGTGAAGTTATAATAATAAGTTTGTTACTACATTACAATTGACAATTGTATAATGTCAAATAGTGGTATAATAATATGGCATAAAGTAAATAAAAATATTAAATAATAATTTGAATTTATATTTTAAAAGAACAATTTTTTTTTAATTAAATTCTAATTAGATAAAAATAATATATATCAAATTTGCTTATTTTTTTTAATATCTTTTATAATAAAAATATTTTTAAAAACCTATAGTCTAAAATTATTTAAAAATATTTTTAAAATTTATATTTAATATAAGTTAACAAATATTAATAAAACAGATTTGTTA